AGCAGAGGAGAGAAGGGGCTGAGCACATGGGTAGTAGGTTTTTATACCCTCTCTAGCCTTGTTTGGAATAGTTTCCTGTTCCTGTGGCATGAACTTTGAGGCTATTTCTGAGTGTTTTTCTAGGCCTTGATATCTGTAGTTTAATTCTATTATCATATCCTGCTTCATATCCTGGTGATAGGGCTAATGACTCCTAGAATTTGGGTGGGGTATGCAGATTTTAAGTCTCTTTGTCTTGACAAACTTTCTGATGGTTTTACATTTGCATTTGTATAGGGCTGGCTCCTGTTTGGGATAGTTGGCTCCTGCTTTTAAAAATCCTTTTGAGGAAAAATATATTTTTCTGCCCTTTTAATATTTCCTTCTCTGGGGCTCTGACTTCCCACACATGATATCAAACATGCCTGAGAAAATGGTATACCATGTTTTACCTAGTAAGATATCTAGATGTATGTTCTTCTTCATATTAGTATTCTTATATAGGATGCTAAAAGAAAAAAAAAATATTGTATATTAAGGATTTGTCATAGTTTCCACTATATACATTGCTATATATGTCCCTGTTACAAATTGTTTGGGAATGGATTGTTTCCTGAAATATAGGTTGTGACGTGTAAAACAAATAAACAAATAATTATTGATGAATGGGACTATAGGCTTTCTGCATTATTCAGAAGAGGAAGGCATCTACAACTGGACATTCAAAATGGACAATATTGTCCTTTATAAATTCCTTACTGTCAAAATAATCATTGGCATGATTTTCTGCTCCACTTACTTTTCCTTTCCATGTTTTATCATTCTGATCTTTTTTGACCATTTTGATTCAGACCATATAGTTTGTTGCAGACTAACTTCAACAGTTCATCGGACACTTCAGGTATAAGAAGTGTGAGAAGAGAAGTGTGTATGAAAACTCACTTTTGAACCTAAAAGTGGCAACCCAAAATTGCATGAGTGGCAGGATTAAAGACCCCATTTCATAAACTAGCTAAATTTATTTCCTTTCCCCACTTCCCCACAAAAAGGGTTGAGTTTTATTATTTTTTCCTTGGCTATAAAACCCAGTGGAAACATTTCTCAATCATCTTAAGTATTAAGAAAAACAGATTAACTGCATCCCAATTTTCCATTATCTTGTACTCTTTCTTTCTTAAGGTAAAAATTGTCAGGTGAATCAAGAAAACTAGCCATCAATAAGAGTTTGCTTGTGTGGGAGCATGTTTCCAACTTACAGGATTCTTATGACAAGTGTGTCAGAAAACACTACATACAGTATTATCTGGAATGAAGTTCCATAACTAATTAGCTTCTCAGGCACAAGGAGGGAAATGGTATTAAAACAACAAGTCATATCCTGACTCTATAACTTTGGAAATCTATTAGCATTGGTCAACGTGCCCATTGTAGAAGCACTGAGTTTAAATGATAGCAATAAAAATAGGGGAAGCTAAAAAAGTGATTTACTTTAAATGCTTTTCTATATAAGAGAAGGAAGAAAGGGAAATAAATATAGATTCTTACCGCAAAGACAACAAACCATAATTGTGGAGGTTTCCTGCCATAGCAAAGGAGAGAATTCCCAGCTTTTAGCTTTTACATACACTTGCTAAGGGAGAATACATTTTTTTTGCATGGGTACCATTTCATTTGGAAATAGATAAATAAGAACCATGTTTCTGATTTGAAGAGAAAAGAAGAATAAAATGTCCTTATCAGCTTGTGCAGAGTTCTGGTTTTGAAGTTCATTGGCTCCTCCAATAATTGGAAGGGAAGAAAGGACAAACTTGCTATATATAGATATTAACCCAATCTTTCATTGTTTTACTAAGAATCAGCCATTAGTAATGCAAATTGGAAATGTGGAGAGGATATGTGCACCAACTTAGCTTATTTTTATTCTGGGGTCCTTGTTACTATTATTTTTATTCCATCCTGTTAGTAAAGCCCCTAAATGCAAGGTGTGTTTGAAGGAACTTTACAACATTTCAAATGACACGTGCTGATCGACTTCTTCTAAGGCATAAGGGTATCAGTTATGTCTGAAAAAGGGGAAACATTGCTCTGGAATTAATGTTTCTGACTTCTTATTTTGATTATAATACTAAGTTTGTTGAGATCCTGAGCTAAATCATGGGTACAGTGTAGAATGTAGAATAACAGGTGTTATAGAAATGAGGGTGTAGAGGACACCAAATGTCTGTCCTTAATGCCTCCTGCCTCCAGAAGCGGTGAATGCTCCAACACTGGAGGTATTTAAGAAGAGACTGGACAGCCATTTGTCCGAAATGGTATAGGATTTCCTGCCTGAGCAGGGGGTTGGATTAGATGACCTCCAAGGTCCCTTCCAACTTTATTATTATTATTATTATTATTATTATTATTATTATTATTATTATTGTTGTTGTTGTTGTTGTTGTTGTTGTTGTTGTTGTTGTTGTTGTTGTAAGGTTTATTTATTCAGTAATCTATTATATTTGTGAGGTTCTTGAAATATATAAGTTTATTGAAATTTTGAGGTAAATCATGGGTACAGTGTAGAATGGGGAAAGTGAACATAAATCACATTCAGGCCTGGACATGGCACCAAAAATCAAACTGATTATTCTTGTAGATGATTTGTGGCAAGATGAGTATCTACTGCAAATTCTAATTATGCAAAAATGATCATGTTTGCACATTTTTTATCGTAACAATGTTCCTACATTTATATATTATGTTCCAGTCTCTGTCACAAGTATACCGGTTTCAAGAAGCAGCTATGCCAAATATCTGCCTTATACCTCAGAGCTTTCTGGCTCATCCAGAAAGAGGGTAGAAGGTTAATTGCTTAATTTCAACAATGAATAAAGCTGACTGCAAGTTAAACAAATGAAAATATTTTTTTAAAAAAATATTTTGCTGCTTTTCCCAATCTGGATGGTGTTCAAATAAGTGGTAAGCTTGAATTCTGGGAATTATTTATCTGGTGTAGTTATTATGGCAATTCTTTTATTGAAGTTCATACTCTTGGAAGTTAATAAACTTGAGAAAGGTACTTTCTGAGCTTGATGGTTTCCTGGCAGATGTTTCATTACCAAACTAATAACCACCAAGCTTGGAGAGCACCAAGGATCCCTCAGTTCAACCCTGAGCTACAAATATCCCCTTCTTCTTTCTCCTAACATGAGAATATTTTCCTGATTTGTGCTGTAATGCAAATCATATTTGGTCTTTGAATCTAGATTTCTACACAACTGTAATTCCCATTGGGTGATATTTGGATACATTTACATATTTATGAATGTTACTTCTGAAGTATTGTTTGTTTGTTTGTTTCATACATTTATAAATCTGCCCAACTCAAGAAATGTAAAAACTAATCAAAATCAATGATTTTGCCATCCTTGTGGCTTCAGAGGTGTTATAGAAATGAGGGTGTAGAGGACACCAAATGTCTGTCCTTAATGATAAGATTTATTTATTCAGTAATCTATTATATTTATGGGGTTCTTGAAAATAATAATAATAATAATAATAATAATAATAATAATAATAATAATAATAATAATAATAATAATAATAATAATAATAATAATAATAATAATAATAATAATAATAATAAAGTTGGAAGGGACCTTGGAGGTTATCAAGCCCAACCCCCTGCTCAGGCAGGTAACCCTATACCATTTCATACAAGTGGCTGTCCAGTTTCTTCTTAAAAACTTTTAAAAATGCATTTGCAAGCTGAGGATTCCAGGTTTAATTTTACTTTTAACAATGGATAACTTCCTCCTCAATATTTGAAGAGAATGCAGGAGAGTAAAGACTATCAAACAACTTGCAAAGCCAATCACTATCTTGCCACAGTTTCCAAAATAGATTAAGATTTAAACTGCTATGCCCCCAACTCCCTTTTGGATGGGAGGGGAGGAAGGAAGAGGGAAGGTAGGAAGGTTGAAGGAGTGAGGGGGGATGCAGGGGAGGGGGCGCCGATCATTTCTGAAACTATATTGACATTTTGGTTTTTTTTAATGAAATGCACCACATTTGTATTTGTTTATGTTTATTTGAAAATTAATAAAATTTGCAAAACAAGATTTAAACTGCTATGCCCCCAACTCCCTTTTGACTTACCAGAAAAACCAAGCACATTGCATCCCTAGCACAGGATAACTATATAAAAAATAAAATATCCACCATGAGGATTAAAAAGGAATACCATGAATATTATAAATAAACTCCCAAATCAAAACTGCTCCTATATTATAAATATTGGATTGGGTTTAAATAATTATTAGCTGGAACAATCTCACAATAAATATGTAACAATAACAGTCAGTCACCGAAGGATGTCTAAAATAATTTGGTCTTTGCTGTTTTTTGGTAGATCATCACATCATGACTAGTCTAATGTCCAAAGGAATGTGTTCTACAATTTGGGGATTATACAGTAGCTGAGAAAGGCTGCTCCATGTCTTCAGTATTCTTTGTCTAATCAGCATTCAGACTTAGTAGACTGTGGCGAATTCACTAACAACAGCTAGAAAATTATTTTGTAGTTGGAAAAAAAAACACCCTTCAATTTTTAGTGTATGTAAAAAACTAGGATTTTGTTCAAGATAAGTTAATACTACTAATGTTACCATGCACTGTGTGGCTTTAAACTACAAGAAGGCATTTTATTAATCTTTTGGGACATTTACCACTGGCATACCCATTTAGTTTAATGAATGGAAATGTCAGCTTTCTATGTGAAATGAAATTGGCCCAATAAAACAAAATTTGGTTGCTTGTAAAAGATTGAATTATTTTTAGGAAGTTGCCAAACAAGATGGAAAAATTTACATTTGGAGTTTAATATTGATATTGGCTTGAAACAAATTAAAGTTGAAACTTTGTCAGTGAACAGATTACTTTTAATTTACCTTTAAGTTAAATCCAATTTAATAAATAGATCTGATTAAACATCATACTGTAGGTCTACCTTTACATCTGACCAATACGTAATTAATATATATATATATTATTAATAATAAAAATATCTCCAAATCACATTGGTTTATTCTTATTCTTCCCCTCTGCAGTTTGAATATAAAGTATAAAAGACTAAAAAGAGATTTTTGTAGACATCTCGGCCTTTGAATTACGCAAGGAACCGAAACAGCAAAGTTTCGCTGTTGGGCAAGCTTCCATGCCAGCGGTCTTTCTTTCCTCTCGCTTCGCCTCTTTTTAACCTCACACGCCACCTTCTGTAAGGGAAGGCAAAAGGCTCACTCACCCTCTTATGAAAGATGGCCTCCATATTTATGTGTCTCCCACCGCCACAATCAGCTTCCATGCCACATGGTTCAACCCAGCCAATCAAGCCACGCTCTGGCTCTGGTGCTCCGGCGCCTCATGGCTTCTCCTAGAGGAGGCTTACAGCGCTGGAGGGAACCCCGCTTGCACTATACTGCCAGGAGGGCATTTTCAAAAGCAAATGAGGATAGGAAGGACAACAATAGGAAAAGAACGCAACTCTGGAAAATCCATTGAATAAAGGTGCCGGAACTCTGTTCCGGTGTGTTCTATCACAAAAAAAGCCCTGGTTTTATTTATTCTGTGGATTCTATTTGAAATACATTAAAGTAGATTTATTTATTTATTTGTTTATTTTATTTGATTTATATCCCGCCCTTCTCCCGACGGGACTCAGGGCGGCTCACAACATATTAAAAAACATAAACACATTTACAACCCCACCGAAGTAAAACCAATTAAAACCGAATATTTAAAGCTGTGCTATTTAAAAATTACTCTTAAGATAAACCCGATTTAAAATCCTCCCTAGGCCAGGCCCGCTTGCTG